ATTTACAGAAGATGAAGGGGGAAATGAAGAAGAAGATGAGTATACAGACCGTAGAGCTAGAGCACTTTATAAGTTTCAAGCAGGAGATGTTGATGAATTAAGTTTTGAAGAAGGAGACATTTTGATAATAAAACAACGATTAGGTGATGGATGGTTATTAGCGGAATTAAATGATAAAACCGGGCTGGTTCCGGAGAACTATGTAGCTTTGATAGGTGATGATGAAGAAGAGGAAGAAGAATATGGAGTAGAGTTTAGAAGCGGGTTATAGTAAACCGGGTCAAAAACGGTTCAACCAGGTCAAAAAATTACAACTCGGGTTAAAACGGTTAAATACGTAACCTCTAAAAATCAGGTACTATTACATAGAAAACAACAAAATTTAACACATTATTATTGTATTATGAATAAACACATTTTTTCTTATTAATTTATTAAAAGTTTAATCACAAATTTGGAGGCTACTATACGGACTATTTATTGTTGCGAGAATTTAGTTAAAAATAACCCTTTTATATAAATCATCATTATATAAATCATCATTATTATTTTCTTTTCCTTGCTATATAATATGTAATACACTGTTCGACGTTTGAGAATTCGTAGCGCTGGGGGTTGGGATATGTAAGGTGATCGCGTTGCATGAATGACGTGATCGTCGATAGCATAAAATTAATTAAAAGTTTAATATGTGCGTACGTACGCATATAATACCATGCGTGACAAATAATTTAGAACAATTTTAGAACAATTTTTTAAAATGTTATTTATACAATTATGTGATATAAAATACCTGTGATTTTTAATTTTTCGGGTCACGGAATGGGTGTAACCGAATAATCAGACGATAATCTAATATATACTACTGTATATAAGTGCATCGATCATTTAGGCGACCTGCACATATTTGGCTTTAGGAAAATACTATCTTAATAGTATTGTAACGTTGTGTACGTTTCCTTGTGGTGTGTAGTGGTGCTTAGTGGTACTTAGTGGTGCTTATTAGCGCTTAGTGGTGCTTATTAGTGCTTATTAGGTGGAAGTATCTAAACGATACATCAGTCAAGTATAATAGCCAAGGAAATAAAACGCTAGTAAAAGTCGAATTGCACGCGTGAGGTTAGAAAGTAAAACACTAGTAAAGTCGAATTGCACGCGTGAGGTTAGAAAGTAAAACGCTAGTAAAAAGTGAATTGCACGCGTGAGGTTAGAAAATAAAACGCTAGTAAAAAGTGAATTGCACGCGTGAGGTTAGAAAGTAAAACGCTAGTAAAAAGTGAATTGCACGCGTGAGATTAGAAAGCTTTCGTGTTCCAGATCGTATCCCAGTACTAGATAAATTAGCAACTTTATTTGAGAACGAGCACGGCGAAGAGAGAACGCACTAACTGCACCATCGTTCCTAAGTTTATGTCGCTAAATTGGTGTCGAGTCATAAGGTCTCTCCCAGGTCACAACACTATTCACAGCACTATTACTATCGTATTATTATTTTTTTTTCATGCTTATTCAAATTCAAACTGAATCAGTTTTTTTTATATCGAATCGAACTCCACCCTCAAAAATTTGAAAAAACTAATCATCCATAATTCTCGTCATCATGATTATTCCAATCGTTTTCAACCGGTTCAGATTATTGCATGCTCTAATATGAGAGTCGCTAAAAGAAAACCCGAAAATTTACATATGACATATATTTAAATTTTCGGAGATTCTTTTAGCGACACTCATATGGAGATTAGACTAATGAGAAACTACAATCCCTATAAAAAAAAGTCGATCCGTGGTTTATATTCCGTGTTTTCACGGAATTTATAACTTTAAATCATGGAGATTATTCGGCTTTTTTAGATTTTGTCGATCAAGTTGCAGATTCACGAAGTTTTCACAAAAAAAAAATATGGAGAAATAACGAAAAAATTTTTTTACAGGGAATTAAAAAATTTATATTTTATTATTTTATTATTATTTTTTATTTTGTAGTATATATTATAGATTCGTGGACGATATATTATTTATTTTTCACAGTTTTTTTTTTACAATCCAGATTGATGGAAGTTTAGAATATTGAAGTTTAAAGATTGGAAGTTAAAAGGAATGATTGTACATATAATAATATACATGATAAATCTTTATTATTATAATGATTTAATAATTTACAATACTTTAAATTGCTCAAGAACTTTAATAACGACAATTATATAATAATTATATAATAATTATATAATAATTATATAATAACTATATAATAATTATATTGATTACAGAGAGAGAGAAAATTGAAAAAAAAGTTATAATGATTAGGTGTAACAATTTTCATAAATGAATTGGATAAAAATGAATATATAAATCCCCATGAGGCATTAACTTTACCAAACAAAGGAAATCTTTAGATTAAATCCTACCATCACAATTTATTATCATAACCAAAATTAATCTAGTGTTAAATCTAGCGCTAATACAAAAACAAATACGCCGATCAAATAATGGATCAAGTATGGTATAGGAAGTAGGGATGTTACGGTCCGTCCCGGTCCGGTCTTAGTCCCAAAGACCGGTCCTAGCAGAGGACCGGTCTATAACCAGGTCCATAACCCGGTCTATTGGCTGGTTTTCAAAGTAGGCTATATGGTTTTTAATGATC